GTTGTTTAGTCGTTAAGTCGTGTCCGACTCTTCGTGACCCCATGAACCATATTGCGCCAGTAGTGATAGATCATAGTAAAAAAAAAAAGGGGGGGTTAGTGGCCTATGTTCTTGCTGTTCCTGATGGATCTTTCGGCCCTTGTAGAATTGGATATAACCATCATCCGGGAGCTGAAAAATGTTGAGGTATTTGAAGAGGAAGATGTAACCTTTGAGTGCAAAGTCTCCCATGACAATGCAAGGGACGTGGAGTGGAAATTGCAGGATTTGCCTCTTCAGAGCAATGAGGTGAACGAGATCTCGGTTGAGAAAGGCAGGGTCCACAAGTTGATGCTACGGAAGGTCACCCAGCAGGATTCTGGCATGATCACCTTCAGGGTGGGACCATATACCTCCACAGCACAGCTCAAAGTGAAGGGTATGAGAACTCTATCTTTATCAAGAGTTGTGATAACAAATGATTAAGCATCTCAGTTCTGTTTATTGGTTATGCACAAGGGGATAACATAAGAATGTTAGGCAGGTAAAGAAAATACAACCTGAGCTGAACTGTGGTCACAATCTATAGCACCTGTATTGCAGGCAGGGCATCTGCAGCAAGCCAAGATTTCATCCAAGTAATAAAATGTGGGTCATGATGTCCTAACTCTGCCTCCTACATACTCCTCTGCAACATCATTATGCAAATGCAAAATAGGTGGAGTTTTCACCATGACAGCCTGATGTAGATTTCATCATTTACCCTATCCCATGGATGCCCATGGTTGCAGTTAACTTAGAACTGTCAGCTCCCTTCCTCAAATTCTCGTAACAATCCAGCCAGTGTTACCAATGGCTTTGCTGCTTCTGGAATTATGAGAGTTAAAGTCCAACATGCTGGGTATTGTAAGGTTGAGGAAAGCTTGTTGACATGGGTCACAGATCTCCCTGATTCCAGATATTGATTTGAGGTGCTTTTCTGGATGCCCAAAGCAGGGTGAACATCTGTGAAGTTCTTAACTTCTGCCTGCTGAGAACAAGGAGAGAAAATAACTTCTGCTGGCTTGAACTGCTGTAGGGTTTGCAGTGAAAAAAATGCCCTTGCCTCATTATACAAAACATAGGTATAAGAAAACAAAATCCTATTAGCTTGGCACTTTGTCCACCAGATCCTCCTGTGCTGAAGAGAAGAGGTACATTGACAACATTCTTGTTTTTTTCTCTCCTCCTTCTTTTACTTTGTTGAGGGACAAAGTAAAAGCCATCAAGGTAATATTTCCATTAAAGGATCTGAAATGTAGCTGTTGGGAGGAAGGATAGCAAGAATTCTTTTTAATGGGGAAATAAAAACAAAACAAAACACACAACGCTGAATTTCACACTAGGCTCAACTGCAATGCAACTCTATCTATCTATCTATCTATCTATCTATCTATCTATCTATCTATCTATCTATCTATCTATCAATCAAATTTGTATGCCGCCCACCTCTCCCAACGGGTGACTCTAGGCAGCATACAAATTTAATAATAAATAAATTTAATTAAAAAATACAAAAAGGTAGAAATAAATCAGTGTGGTTGTCCAACACTGGTGATGTAGAAGCACAAAGGTCCAGATTTTTCAAACTGGTATAGAAGCTTCATGTTTAAATGCCTTTCCTGTCATGGAGGTCCACAGGACAGGGGATAGGTGATGAAACCTGCATTTGAATATTGTGGTGCAATCTCCATTCCTTGCATAGTTGCATGTTACATTGTGATGCAAGTATGAAAGGGGGGAGCACATGTTGCGTGCCTCAATGCATGTTTTGTCATTTTGGTGTGGAGGACTCTGCTTCCCGTGTGCAGGTTATGTGTTCCATAACTGAACTATAGTGCCTCTCCATTAAATTGATCATTTACCCTTCATTCAGATTTTTTTGTATTTCTGCATTCTATCAACTATGGAAGTTTCCATTGGATAGATTGAGATTTATCTCAAAAAATTAGGTCTGGAAGCTTCTCAGACAATATTGCTGTCCTGTTAATATGATGAAAAAGGAAGTTTACTAGTAGTTTTGTAAACATCACTCATTCCAATATTTACTATCATATATTGTGAAAGATGTTCCCATCTGCAAATTAAAATCTATATTATTAATAAATAATTACTTTTTATGCAATGAAAGCTCCTGAAGCTCCTGGCTGAATTTAGAGAAAAGCATTCCATTTACGTATTGCTAGAGGAAGCATTTGTTTCTCTAAGATTGATTATATATATATATATGTGTGTGTGTGTGTGTGTGTGTGAGGATGGGTTGTAAAAAGAGTGTAGGCAACTGGAAATTGTGTACCTTCCCCTTTATTTCTAAAGGACCTCAGTGTCCAGATGAGGAAGAGATTGTTTAAAAAGTCCTGCGATATCCATCTAACTAGGGTTTCCAATCCAGGTTTAAAAAAGGGACGTTTGTTCAGACTCACAGGATTCCTTGGACATTGTAGCTTTTGTGTGTGTGTGTGTATATATGACCCTGCATTCTTAATTTAATTTTTGAAATTCACATATATATAAAATCTAAGCTGGCCTCCAAAAAATTATTTATTATTTCAATTCAAATCCTGTTTATGTGAGAAGATTGCAAATGGGCTCTATTTTTTTTTTTTTTTGCCAGTTCTTGCAGATTTTCTTTTTCTTTACATTTCCAGCACCACTTCCTGTCTTTAAACAAGAGCTAACTAACATAGAATTGCAAGAAGGTAACACGGCTTTCCTAAAATGTGAACTCTCTCAGCCCAACATCTCAGTGATATGGAAAAAAGGCTCTGAAATCATTGCTCCAAGCTCCAAGTATGAAATCAGCCAGGAGGGAACAATCCACATTTTAAAGATTTATCATGTAAATCCAATGGATTCTGGAAAATATATCTGTGACATTGGTCACCAGAAAAGCACGGCAACTCTATCAGTGGAAGGTAAAAGGTTTATTGAACAAGGAGGGTCTGAACTTCTCTTTAGTTTTGATCCTTTCAAGTGTTTGCCTTAATGATCTTTCATTCTAAATTACAAAGCCACTCCTATTTTCTATTAATTATTCTTTTGACTTTTAGCTTTTCTCAGTCCATGGGTGTCTGCGGGATATTGCTGCTGTCTTCAGAACAGTGAAAGCAGCACTATGCGGTTGAGCCATGAACTTTGCTTCATCATACATGTGTGCAATGTCATGCATGTGTACAGAAGGGGTGGGCCTTGTGCTGCAATGATATGATGCTCCTTTTATCATTCTACCCCCTCCCTTTGTACCTTCCAATGGACACCACTCCCTCAACTCTTATGCAAACAAAAACTGTTTCATGATTTCCCTAAGATCTTCAGCTGTGTGAGCTTTCATCTCTCACCCACTCAGGATGTACCAAGGCCCCATTAGCAAGTGGCAGTCGTGGCCAGGAGGACCTTTGCCCACCGTCGTGTGGTACACCAGTTACACCCGTTCTTGGAT